CCGCGTGATTGGCTGCCGTAACAAAGCATACGCCGGCGATTCCCGACGCTGTCGTCCCTTCGGACCACGCCACTCCAGTAGAAGGACGTGCCCTCCGTAGTCAAATTTCTTCCTACTTATTCCCCATTCCTCTGTATACAGAATAAGCTATTCCTAACACTCTAGCCTTCCCATCGTCTTCTCTCTTCTATCCTAAGGAACCATGGTCTGAAGATCGCAGTTGCCAGAGTTTAACTCAAGTAATCCCTTCCGATGTGTTCGAAGGAGAAAAAGAGATGTCAGGCCAATAAACTTCGATGCTAAGAGAGGGCAATGGCAGGTACCACTGGGGGACGCTACCTGTAACAAAATTTCCCAGAAAACTTCCTGCAAAATATAAATATAACGGATCTCAATAATGCTACGGCGTCACCGGGAGGCGACGCGCTCTGTGGTCAGCTGGTGCCCGTAGTGTCAAATATGCGAGCGAATATTCTAAATTTGCGACATAACTGTAAGGTGAGGACATGGCTTGATGTCGAAAGTCAAACACTTGTAGCATGTGCACTGTGGGACTATAAGGTAGACGTTGCCTGTCTGTCAGAAGTTTGTCTGCCAGAGTCTGGATCGATGGAAAGCAAGATCCCACAAGATGAGGCTGAGTACGTGAGCCTCCATAGTGGTACGCAAACAAATAAAGGACAGCATCGAGCCTATCTCAGAGCGGATTGTCACAGCCCGCTTCAAAGGCAGCCTACCAAACATATCTGTGGTTCCCGTCAATGCCCCCAACATTGCAAGCGGATGGAGCAGTCAAGGCTGAGTTCTATGAAAACCTTCAAGATATGGTGGCCGGGACACCTACCACAGACTTGTTCTTCATCGTTGGAGACTGGAATGCCAGAACCGGCCCATATGAAGAAGGCACGAGGCACATCCTCGGAAAACACGGGCTAGGCCAACGTTGCAACAACGGGGAACGATTGGTAACATTTGCTGATTACAACAATCTCATCGTTATAAACACTCGTTTTCAAAACTCGCACCGGCAGTTATTAAAGTGGTATTCAAACTGTGGTCCAACAGCCAACCAGATTGACTATTTCTTGCTACGCTCAAGGTGGGCCACCTCAGTATTCGACAGCCGATCGCTTCGAAGAGCAGAAGCTGGATCAGACCATGCTCGCTTCAAGCTCCACTTGTCGACGTCTCGACGTTAGGGCACTATCAAATACAGAAACCCGTGGAGCGTTCAACGTAAGTGTCATTGCACGGATCAGAGATCAATCCACCGTTCACATAG